TAAGGAAAAAGACATTTTTTAGGAGTAGAAAACTTTCTATTTCAAAATGGAAACTTTTCCTAATGGTGGCTACCTCAAGAGAAATTTTTAAAACGGTAAAACACCAAGTCACATACACAGATATACATGTACATGTATGTATAGATAGATTGATAGAGATGTGTCTTGTCTTCTACTGTTTTTCTAGAAATGCTACTTGGACGGATACAGTAGTTACAATTTTAAGTTAATAAAAATGCTTAGTGAATGAACCTACCTCCGTAAACAATTCCAAACTGTCCAGAACCCAGTACTTCATCAGGAAAAATCTGATATACTGTGCTGATATCCTAGAGGTGCAAGTACAGTGAAAAACATGAGGGGAACAGAATGTTAGTCCTAATAATACATCATATGATTTCATTCACTATAACATAAATATTATTAAACATGTAAAAATAAGTTGAGATGCTAGATGAAACTTACAACATGACTAATATTCAAAATATACTCTGTAATTAATTTAATATTCTAACATTTTGAAAGCTGTTCTGATTTTAAGTGGCAGAGCTTTTTAATGGCCTTCCTCGTATGTTTCAACAGAGAGAAATAAGACTGAAAACCATACAATGTCATTTACTACCAGCATTCACAGAGGGATTTACTTGTTGAGATGACTATTTAGAAATTTCACTGAATGATCATGGTTCCCAGCCACATCTCTGTGAGTCCTGATTCCAACCACTTCCACCTGCACGGCTAGAAGGGAGTAGCTGCTGCCTCCTCAGCCACCATGAGCAGGTGAACCTGGCTGCAGGGAGAGGGGCGGAACCACTGAGCGTGAGCTGCAATGCTGCTGAAGAATGACAAGCCACTGTGAAATTCTCATCAGGAACTAGCTAGACTCTTCCCTTTCTATCGCTCTGCAGGGAGGTCTCAGTTCCAAACTTCTAATCTTTTCTGTTTGAAACAATAATTATTGAATGATGAATTCAATATATGTTCATCGTCTGTGGTTTGATGACCATGACTGTGAAAATACAGTGTAATACTTCTTTACTCTGTGCATTCCTTTTACATCCTATTGTATTTTCTGCCTATTCTTCACTCTTACATGCTGACTTTATTTTTTAAACTTCCTTTTATATCAAATCCTCCTCTCTGTATATCCTATACATCCCTAGTCTTTTTTTAGCCTTTCCTCCTAGGAAACAACTACAAGTTGTTTGCATCCTGTGATTCCCTCAGCGTACCCATAGGGTAAGCTCAAGGCTGTTTAGAAATAAGAAAACATATCAATACTATTTACTATTCCAGTATTCTGAGTCCAAGCTTCTCCATCTCAAAAGAGTGGCATTCCCGCCGGGTGTGGTGGCTCATGCCTGTAATCCTAGCACTCTGGGAGGCCGAGCTGGTGCACTGCTTAAGCTCAGGAGTTCTAGACCAGCTTGAGCAAGAGTGAGATCTCATCTCTACAAATAGCTGGGTATCGTGGGGGTGCTGAGACAAGAGGATCACCTGAGCCCAAGAGTTTGAGGTTGCTGTGAGCTACGACACCACAGCACTATCCTGAGGGTGACAAAGTGAGTCTCTGTCTCAAAAAGAAAAAAAAAAAAAAAAGAGTAGGTTCCTTAAACTTTCTCTGATGACTTCATGGCCCACTTGGAATTTTCAGTTGACAACAATGGCTGACCAGGGTGGAACAATGCTACAGCTACCTGGAATTTCCCAAGAGACTTTGAGAGTAACCTGTATTTCCCAAAGTCTTGTCTGGCTAAGCAAGAGCAGGAGGAACCTGCTTTAGGAATCTCAGGATTGTTATTTAGCGCAGTCATTTACCTAACCTTCCCTGGGAAGTCTGCCTAATTCTAATTCATCTTTGGTTCTCTGTTTATTTTATGCCACTTAAGCAAATGGTAGTAAAGATAAAGTAGTGATGAACCGAAATTCATGACCTTTATTTTTCAAAGACACTTTTTAAAAAGTATAAGTTAGGCTATAAAATGCAAAAGAGAGAGAAAGGTCTGGATCACAAGGATGAGCTAGAAAAGGTCTTCTTACTTTTTGGCTACTTGCCATGAAGTAGAACAGACAAAGGCAAGCATATGTAACATATTTCATAATATGTCTGTTCTATAATTTTCAAAACTGAGCTGAAAGTATGCAGTTATATGGCACAGAAGACTAGGGGTGCTAGAATGCGGACCCATGAACTCTGGTTTATGCAGCTTTCTTAAGTCTCCTGGACAGGTACAAGTGGCTGTAAGAGCATCTGCAGCTGCTGGTCACATGACAGCACTCCCAGTAGCAACTAAGGAATGAGAACAATGGCGTGTGTGAGCTACTCACGCAAAGCAAGGAATTTCTTAATGTTTTACTTGTCTATTTTACTGCGTGATATCAACCATCGAAATTCCAGGGAAGAGGGGCAAATGTGAAAAATCAGGCTTCTCATTATAATTCCCTGAGATAAACAGATATTTGGCCCTACATACCAAATAGATTATAGAAAAAAATCACTAAACGAATTAATTATTGTTTCTGAAATATTACAGCAAAAATATCCAAATAGATCCTATTATGTTTTCTAGAAAATGTTGAAAAGTTAAAATGCTGGATAAATAAAAAGTCTATTTTCTGAATGTCTTATTTTCTAATAATCATAAAACTGAGTTTTATATTAGTTGGTACATACTTACCACATTTTCTTGAATCTGGCAATTTGATACTGAAATACTCACAGAAATATCTCCTGGAAATGCATGTTTAAAAATACACACATGAGAAGAAGTCAGTAAGAGACGTAATGGCAGAACAAGTAAATACATGTCTATAAATCATCAGGTAGGACTGGTTTTAAATAAATCACAGCAATTAAGATTTTTCTACAAAAATGTCTATTAGAATATTTCTATCTAAAATTATAGATTCACTTTGTACTTGCTTTGAAAAATTATATTTTGTCAGCTTAGAGTTTGAAGTCAAGAGGACTTGGATTCAAATGCTGTGTTGGTTACTTTGCAGCCCTGGTGTAAGCTTAGACAACATCATCTCTCTCCAGAGCACTGATTTCCAACCAGTGTGCCGTGAGAGGCTCTTAAGTGGACCGCAAGAAAGTTTAAAGATCATTAATTAAATTTTTTTTGAAAGAAGTTCAGTACATAGTAAGTATATTCTTTTTTTACTTTTTTTTTTTTTTGCAGAAGTTGAACCGTAGGTTCAAGTGTGCCCTGAGATAAAAGGTTGAAAAATACTGCTCTAGAGAGAATGATTTTCTCGCCTTTAAAACAGGCAAATCATTAACATCTACATGTTGGGATTGTTTTAAGTATTAAAATAGTGATCTCACACAAATGCTTAGTACCAAAATATGTATATATATTCTATTAATATGCCTGTTGACTACAGAGGCAAATAAAAAAATTGTGATAGATCAACAGATAACACAGTATCATATAACAAAGGTTAATTCATAAGTTTCATTCTAATAAACATTATGGAATGTAAAATCACATTTTTATACAGATATTCCCCTAAGATTTCTTTTTAAAAATCCATCTATAACACTTGATCCTGGTTACATTTTGGCAACTCTCTCATTCTACTAATGAACAGAGATTTTTGTCCAGGGGTAAAATAATCAAGAGTTACCATGTACTCTGCACATCAAATACTCCACATAGAACAGGAAGTGGTTTTAGGAAAACATTAATTCAGACTTGCAAGTAGCAAGACTCTGGCATTCCATGTTAAGCTCAAGTTGACTAGATTACTTCTTTTATCATCAATAGCTATAGAGGTCTGTAATTGCCTATTATACAGGGTTTATCTAAATTTGTTAAAAATGTAATATAAGGAAACAATAAAATAGGTTAATTTAACACATGAAATATCTTAGGATGTGCAGCAGCTTGTCTTTGGAGACCCTATGTTCTCCAGGAGGCTAAATCATCTCCCAGGGGCCTTTCTTCCTTCTGTTCTTGGGAAAGGCAGGGGTGATGTTTTCTAAGCCACGGGCAGGCAGGTGAGTGAACTTTGTTCTAGTTAGAAACCTGGCAGACTCACTGTGCGAGCTGGTTCCTGGGCCCACGGATGAGCCCTTGGGGATGACAGGCATGAGGGCGTGCTGGATGGCCATCTCCCACATCCGGGCCACATCTGCACCAACGCCACTGGTGAGGACACTGTTGTTTGGTAGTGGGCTGGAAGGATTGACCACAATCTCTCCCACATAATACACTACATTTGCTGTAGTGATTTCAAAACAGTGAGGATTAGCCCCACTAGGAATTAAAGCAGAAGTTTTTGCTGGTTCCAGAGATAAAATTTCTGATAAAGGTATTTCCTGTGGAAGAGAGAGTGTGTAGATGTAGTATCTCAAAGGTGTAAAACTTGTAAGTAAAATTCATGCCAGGAATATGTAAGAAATAACATTGCAAATAGCTATCACTCACACAAAATCATCTTTAAACTATAAAATGCAGAATGTTACTAAACAAAATTCAAAAATACTTTTATAATGGAAAATTTTACCCTTTGCTTTCTTTAGAAAACACAGGTGACTTTTTTCACTATGTTGTTGCAGCAGAAATGAGTATGATTTAGAGTGATGATTCTGAATTTTCATCAAAATTCAAGACTTAGGAAATAAATGATAAGTTCAATAAATGGGAGGTAAAATAATAACACTTTTTGAAATGTGTGGAGTAGATATGGCTGCTATTAAATTTTAGCTCTTCTTTAAGAAATTGAAATGAATCATGTAATTTGGTTCAATACATGTTAATACTACCAAGTGAACAGTTCAAGAGGAAACCAGAGATTGGTTTTAAAAGTTAAGTAGTTGTTTTCAGGACAGTTTTGATAATAAAAAATTAATCACTACATTGTCTTCTATGAAGGATGGACTAAGAAATAATAACTCTTAAAACAACATTTTTTAATTTTAAAAGTAGTGAGGCTTTCTTCATCTGTGACAGCTGAGTAGCGTCCCAGAAATGGCAAATCAGATCAATTGTGCCTAAACTGCATTCATTTTGAAAGGGCAAGTATCTCCTGTTTTCACCATGAACTTTTTTGGAATTGCATTTTCCTGGGTGATACATTATACCATGTCTGTATTATTTAATGTAGAGGGACAGAATAAAAATTGCTGCCAAATTTTTCTCTAGAGGAAAGTGCTCCTTGTGAATGTTGGCAAGCATGCAGAAAGCATACCATGTTTCCTAACCTCGGCAACGTGCTGGGTGCTGTGGAGCTCATGAATTTACTTTGAGCTAATTTTCTGTGACTGTGAATTTTCTCATTAAATCACACATCTCTGCTAAAACAGTTAATTAATCATTTCCTCTCCCCCCCACCACCACCATCTTATGGGACCAGAAGCATTCCCCAGGGAAGTGTGAAATTCTCAGACGAATCAAGAGGTCACAACCTGATTCCAAAGAAATTTGTAAGCTGTACAGAAGGCAAAAAAAAAAAAAAAAAAAAAAAAAAATCTCTTGGATGAAGCACAAAAACAGTCACTTCTGTTGGATGTATTTTGTATTTTTGATACTGTACACTGTCACAGGGAAGCAAGAGGGGGCACAAGCCTGCAAAGGAGGATCCACCTCACCTTGTAGTACCTGCTCCCTGTGTCATTCTGAAAGAGGGTGATACACTTGCTGTCCAGTCTCCAGTAGTGCCGTTTCCGCTGTAACAGAAGTTAGAGTCCGACTCTTTTAAAAACTTTAAAACAATACATTTTACCATTGAGGACATAGGATCTGATGGTGGGAAGTGTATGGGCTTTGGACCAGGTAGACTGATACTCAGGTTTAGACTCTGTATACACTCAGTATGACACAACTGCTTGGCAAATATGGCAAATGTGAGTAATAAAGGACATGATGTTTTAGCACCCACCAGAGTGCCCAGCACATAGTATGTGCATAATGGGTAGAAAATGCCATTTGAAAAACCATTTCACTGCTTGAAGAACTAAAGGTGAATCTGTAGTCCACAGTAAAACAAGACTTACTAGGAGATACCATGTTTCTATTATATGTGCTCATTACTTTAGGGCATAAGAAATGCCATGCTGATCCAGCCAGGTCTTCTGGTTTCCATTGGAGATGGAAGAATTCTGAATGTTACAATAGAACTGAAAAATACCTTCTTGGATGATGCAGTTAAGTCCCGGGCAAAGTCAGAGGAATGTGTATCAGATCACTGACTCTGCCAAAAGCCCTATGATTCTTGGTCTCTTCCATAACTATCTTAGAGGAAGCATGTTAAATTTACTTTACATTTTTTACAGCACATCTAGGAAGGCCTCCATGGTGTTCAGTTAAGTCCTACGATTAGACATGTAAGTCTTCTCTCTAGCAGAGAAGGTTTTGATGGTAGATAGATTAATTAGGTACTAAGTGCCTATTTATCTACAGAGATGACAGAGATCCTATAGACAGGAGGAAATGAGGAAAGGACTTCCAGTAACGGAGAAATGAGATGATCACCAGTCGTTAATTCATTTAACTCTGAAATATGAATCCAGTTTTTCTCTTATATATATACCCATCCTCATTCATCAACTACCATATTAAGAAAATCTGGAGAAATGAACAGAGTCAAATGTAGGATCACTATGGCTACATTCCTGAATGGGTCAGTCTTAGGCAACCACCTAATTAAGGATTTACAATGTACACAATAGTTATCACTGCTTTTTCTCTCCCTAAAAACGGTAGTTTCTTCTAAAACTCTAAGTAACCGAGGAATACTATAAAGCTCACACTGAAGTTTTCCTGACGGCTCTGAGATGATAGGTGGGCATTCAACTTGTTTGGACATCACCTCGAGTACTTGAGGTACATGATTCCATTTGCCTAAAACTGCTCTCTACATTTTGTCCCCACCCCACTGCTTGCTCCTCTGCATCAGACACCCAGGACTGTGTGCTGTGTGTGCTCCACCACCGCACCTGAGCCGAGCTTCACTCCCAGGAATCAGGCATCCCACAGTCCCCATGCAGCCTTACCAATGCCTCTAATTGAAAGCGAGGAAGACGGGAGAGAAGGCTGCTCGCCTGCCTCTTACCAGGGTGTCCTTGCTGGTGTAGTGGACCATCCACCCTTCCTTCATCACCGTGCTGCTTTTCCTCTTGGTGTGTTTGACAGACTGCACTACCCTCATGAGTGGGATATTGTTGCTTGTTGATGGACTTGAAAAGTCAAAATATTTAAGGAGAGAAATGTTTTCAGGTATAGATCTTTTCATGCATAAAATCTTATTTCAGCTATTTCAAAAGTAAAAGTCAAAAAAATCCACATCCCATTTTAGTGAAATGTGTTGTCAGAGCACATGGCTCAGCAAGTGCGTTGCTCTGAAGAGTTACAGACACTTTTAAAAATCTCAAGGCTAGGTAAAAAAACACCCTTGTTTTCAGGTTGAACTACATGGTGTTCAGTTTTCAGGTACACATCAGGTAGATTACTGTCTTAGTGTCCAGGGTAACAGTATTTTGAATCACACATGGAAACGTATTTGCTATTTCATTACATGTTACAGACACAGTATCAATCATTTATAGATGTTATTTCACTCGAATTTTAATCTTTACATAAGTTCCTAAAAATCAGAATCTTCTGTTTTCAACTGTCTTTTATATAACTATTGTTCATGTAGTTATACTGATCTTTCTCCTCTTCTCCCTTCCCCACTTCCCCCTTTGCCAATTTTTATCTGTCTCTTCCTCTCTTCTTTTGTCACTTCTGGGCACGCGCCACCCCCCTCCCGCCCTGTACCATGCATATATTCAAGAACCTCCCTTCAGGGTGGTACCTGGGGCTCAAAGGAGTAGGGCGCCAGCCCCATATGCCGGAGGTGGCAGGTTCAAACCCAGCCCTAGCCAAAAACTGCAAAAAAAAAAA